CTAAGCTGGATTTTCAACACGAAATTGGTATGATACACGCTAACAGAAAAGGTAATTATTCGTCTGCTTCCTGTTGAACTAGTTTTAATTACAGGAGACTCGCAGGAGATGCGAAAATAATCTTTGGGATCATTATAATACCACAAAAAAGTAGCTGGGCTGGTTAGAATGTTTGCCAGAGGTATCAAGGAAGCTCGTCAATGTTCAATAACTGTATGAATTGGTGGAAAAGATGTGTGTAATGATGATAATGTTGGACTGATAGACATTTGGCTTTGAATATTAGGGATATGAACAAACATGTCAAGCGACTAGTAGAATTTGCCAAAAATATTTATAGGAAAATAATGCGCGAATGCATAATGAGATATTTTTCACTTTCATCTCGTAGAAGCAATAATATCATGACACATAAAATAATACATGAAAAAATATTGGCTAGATGGAGAAAACATCATTATTGATCTCCAAGAAATAATAAATTTTCAATTTGAGAAAGCTTTTACACCCAGGAATAAGCTTGGTGATGCAAGTTACTCTTCAACTGACGAATAATCTCTGTCGAAATTTACCAAGTTTTGATATAGAAAGGCAAACATTGGATGTTAAAATGAATTTCACGATTCAAGGGTACAGAAAAAATAATTCGAAAGTCTATCAAAAATTTAATCAGAACCTTTTCGATTTAGATAAATACGAATAGATCATATGATACACTAGAAATAATTATATGCGTTTTACATACAGGGTGTCGCATCGAAAACGAAACAGACGCATTTACTGGCAGCTCAGTTTTTTTTTTGGAAAAACGCTCAGACCCGTCGTTTTTGTTTTCGAAGGGGACACATGTTTGGCAAAAAATCACGTTAACACGTGCAGCCCCCTGGGCGGGGGTGACACCAACCCTAAAATCTTAAATGGAAGGGGGCGGGGGTCGAGTGATATCTTATTTTAAAGGTCTTTCAATTCCCTTTATAATGATGTAAAATACATGAGCTGATATACTATATCATGGTTAATTTATGTTACAAGTTATTTTAGCAACAAAGTTTGGTCAAATCAATCGCAAACTATGTACTAAATTCCTATTTAAAATAAGTACGAGATATTTCCTTATCTTTCTTCAAGAAATAACTTTTTTGCCACAAAAAAAAACGCTTCAATAGCTATTTTCAACAACAAAATGATGGGCGTAGTGAAGAAAAGCATTTACTTATTAAGTAAATTCTTTTAGTCAAATTTCTTCTGAAAGTAGTACAAACTAATCTGATGTACCTATTAAAGTCTACTTTAAGCTTTAAATCAATAAATCTTCAAAACTACTGAACTGAAATACATTAATTTTATATCATTATAAACGGAATTAAAAGATCTTTAAAATAAGGTATCACTCGACTCCCCTTTCCATTTAAGATTTTGGGGGTGGTGTCACCCCCGCTTAGGGGGCTGCACATGCTAACGTGATTTTTTGCCAAACTTGTGTCCCCCTCGAAAACAAAATCGACGGGTCTGAGCGTTTTACAAAAAAAAACTGAGCTGCCGGTAAATGCGTCTATTTCGTTTTCGATGCGCCACCCTGTATATTTATATTTCAAAGGACTTGCGTGTTGATGTGAAATTTTCGAAACGAAAACTATCCCCGATAGCATGAAATATCTATTAAATATTTTTGAAAAATGTTTGCTAAATACTTGTATCGACATATTTTTTAGTAATTAATAAATGCATTTTTTATATATTTATAAAATATTCATTTTAGATATTTGTGTTATATATATAATATATATACTCGAATTTTTACGATATTTTTCCAAACATTTACGTAGAAAATATATGAGGAAAGTTTTTAAATATCAGTTTTATATTTTGATGAAATATCTGATATTTTTAGCGAAAATATTTAGGAAATGTATGAAGCATTATATTTTGAACAATTAATCTGATACATATTATCAGGGTAATCTTGAAAATGCTTCATTGGGTATTTTAGCAAAATATATAGGAATTCTTTTCTGAGTTTATAAAGAAAATCCATTGTAGATGTAATATGGTTTATTTTCTAGAAAAATGTCATTAAAAATAATCGAGAGCCCTCCTACACCTTGCAAATCCATTCCCTGGAAAAAAAACTTACTTATTATAAAGTATTACTGGATACATAAACTGCTCTCCAGTGGTTTTTTGTTTGATATTGTGATATTCTCCTTAACTGCTCTAGAAAGTGTATATAAATAATATGGGATTATGAAATGCAGTGGAACAATATGGGTGCTAAGCACTGCTGAGTTACTCCGAGTAACTCAAGTTTGTCACTAAAATACCGCTTTTTAATGCACTTAAAAGGACTCGGCTTATATTTCTTATGAGAGAGAAAAATGTCAATGGAGACAACTTGATCCTCAGACTAGCTTTAAAAAAAAGATTTTTAAAAATGGCCCTCTTATTAGTTTTGCTGAAATGTGACTTTTTGCAGTAATGGAATGTTAATTCAGCCGTAACTATTTTGGGATGTTATAATTCAAGAGACATAGTATTTCCGACTGTGAACTTAAAATTTTAAAATAGTTATAGATGATATGCTCCCTACTAAAACAAAAATACCGCTGCCAACTCACAATAAGATCAATTAATAAATGATAATTGTGATATCAAAAAATCATTTTTGATGTATCTCGATCAAGTTGTGATTGTGATAGCTTTTCATTGGCATTTTATGAATATAATTTTCTTATAAATTTCAGATAAATCCATCAATCTCAAAGCCCTATAAGAAGTATGCTGTGATACTTCCAGGTATTTATGATCTGTAACCTTTTATACTCAATTGGCACAGTAACGTTTACTAGTCAGATAAATTAATCTAAGTAATTATCAAAAGCCTTACCTTTTTCCACAAAGAAACACTCAAATAATGGACTACTTGGAGGTACACAGGATGCACGCTATCACAGACAAACGCACAGGCAAAATGGAAGCTGGAAAGCGTGTCGGCTCAGGTCGGCTTGCCATTGGTCGCTCTCGGGGTCACACGCACATGCGCCGTAGCCGAAAATATTTAAGGGATATTTTCAAACTAATAATGGAGTTTTAATGCTTTCCATTGATTGAAAAGTAAATATTTGATGAATATTATAAAAGAAATATTGTATTTGAAATGAATAAAACATATTGATTAAATATTTATTAAGAATGTTATGATCCAAATATACAGACTTTGAAGTTGAGTCATTAATTTTCAGATAATGATTGTAGAAGGAAGATAAACCAAAATATGTGTTTAAAAATAAAATAAAAATTAAAAAAAAAAATTATCTTGTTTTATAAAGTATCCTCCCGACAAGTATTTCAGTGCGGACCTGTATTTGATCGTGAGGTCTTGGAGCACCGGCAGGCCGTCGCCTGTGAGGTCTTAAGTCACCTGATTCACGAGCCCGTTGTACTACATTAACAAAGGCACGAGGGGTTGGTTGCACTCGATTGGGAAACCGATCCGCATAAACATGTGCCATTTTTGATTTCGTTTGAGCCACTCAACAGACACCACTATTCACTCACGCGTTACCGACTGACACTGACGGTATACAACGGAATAAAATAATTGTAAAAACATCGTTCCAAATTCTTTCGCTTTTTTGTTTCCGATGCGATGAACCGATAAGGCGGATTATATCCGTTGTTGCCAAACACGAGCACATAATATTAAGATTGAGACAGGGCGGTACTCAAACTTCCAAAGGGCTATAACTTTGTTACTTTAATTTTACCAGAAAAATGGTAAAGGAAAAAAACATTTCTTTTGATCAGATCTACTCACTGTTAAAATAAATGACTCAACTTCGAAGTCACCCTGTATATTAAACATTTGTTTAAGATAACAACTATTTAAATAAGATAAAAATAATGTTCAATATTGAATCAATATTTAATGGATATTTCGAGCTATCGGGGATATCAAAGGATTGAACTACGCGATATTTTATGCTTTAACTTGAGCAACATACGAGGTCTGTAAATTAAGAAATGAGACTGACAGCGTAGCGCTCGGTCTGGCAACACTTGAGGCGCCGAATTTGCAGAAGAGTCAGGGGAACATGTGATCCGCCTTCAGTACAAGTTTGAACTCGCTCGAGTCGTTTGGTTTCTTTTTTGTGAAACAGTCTTTCCTATTGTGTTCTAAAAATGAGTTACATAAATTTAGAGCAACGTTGTTCTATCATGTTTTGCTCCTAGCCTGGGCACAGAGCAACGCAAACTCTTGGTAAACTTCACCAGGCCTACGGATAGTGTTGTATCAAGAGCCCAGGTTTTTTGATGGCTTAAGGCATTTTTAGAAGGGGTAGAGTCAATTGAAGATGAAACGAAAGACCCTCTCATCTTCAAGATAAAAACACTTCGCAAGACCAAAATCACATCAGGAAGGAAAGTTGCCTTGACTTTTTGGATTCGATTGAAAATGATCCCCATTTTCTGGAACGTGTCATTACTAGTGACGAGTCTTGGGTGTTTGAGTACGATCGAGAAACCAAGCGCATGAGCATGGAGTGGCACACTTCAACCTCTCCAAGGCCAAAAAGAGCAATAAAGAGAGTTTCTACCTCACGACTAAACGGTTAATCAACACTTTTATCGGGATGTTCTTGAAACATTCGAAAAAGGGTCATTGGTGTGATACCAAACATCAAGAACAACCTCATGTGGCCCCTCAGCCTCCTTATTCGCCAGACTTGAATCCCTGTGACTTTTTTATCTTCCCCAAGTTGCAAAATTACCTCAAGGGAACTCATTTTGGGACAGTCCAGCTGAAGGCTATTCCACTATTGGACTTCCAGCAGTGCTGTGTGGCTTCAGAACCAAGCTATTTTGAAGCAGACAATATAAAATTGCAATTATATTTTAATAAAAAAAATGTCCACACCACAATCACGATCCTCGTTACAATTAATGAAAAATTCGTAAGTCACCTTTTACGTTATGAAAAGTAAGGAGAAATAAAGCTGTGGCTATTTTTCAATTTTTTATTTTCGACAGTACACATACATACACATACACGTTTTTGGTAAAAATACACAGAAAACTGATCATACAGATAAACTTACGCAAAAAAAACATAGAGATATTACCATCTTATATTTTATCTTGAATTAGAAGCCATACTATTACCGAGAATTCGCTTCAACTCTAAGGATAATCTACAAAGAGGTAAGCCAATAACATTGTTACAATCTCCATCTATTCTAGTGACGAAAGTACTAGCTATTCCTTGAATCCCATATCCACCAGCTTTTCCCCTGAAAGAAATCGAAATTTCTACCTTGTTCTTTACTCATAAATCAGAATATTATTCTCATATAAAACACAGCAAATAGTTAGCTACTCATGATATCAACACATTACGAAAATTTAACCAAATCGGATAACACATATTCGCAGGGCTATTATGTACTAAACTTAAAAGACGTCAAAAAAAAAACAGAACGTCAAGATGTCAACTTGCTGCCTAGATAGTTCCTGCTGTGCAAAGAGTACATTCCGCGTTTGCTGGCTATAAAATCAGTGATATTTGTTATGTGAGAAAATTATTGCTGAATATGCCCATGAAATATATCTATTAGCTGTCCAGATGAGTTATTTGTGTTGTCCTTTCTGGGGAGAGGTTATGTTTAAACTTATACATTATAATTTTCCACGTTTGTTTCTTAAATTTAAGTTTCATAGATATTCACATCAGAGCCAAACATCATGACGTGTAGGCAACACGTACAGCTACGAAACCACCACACAACAAGTGTACATCAGCTAGTGCAAAATTAACATCTTGTAGAAAAACCTACATAAAGTCGCAAAAACCTATATAATGTCACTTTTCAAAATACGGATAAACAAATATGACAACATCATAATGTAATCTGAAATATTAAACACCACTACAAAAAATGTATTTATAAGCTGCTTACATCGGTTCACCTGTTTCCACATAGGCCAAGATTTCATTTTCATCCAACTTATGCATGTAGACATTGGTTACTTCTGTAAACTTATGAATGATGTCTTTGTACCTTATAGCTACTCCTGTGTATACTGAATTCGGTAGATTTGATTGTGTCAGACTGAAATAAGATCTCTAATGAAATGTGTTTTACCATGGATACAAGGAAGTGCGAGGAGTGTGTATCAACACATGTCAGAAAGAGATAGAAGCCGGCTGAAAAGCGAAGGTCATCACCACATTCTTCAATCTGCGCATTGCCAATATGTTAGACCAGAAAATGTTCGCATAGGCTGCCACAATAGGTTAGGTTACTGTCAAACCCAAGAAGGAGGTCTGTTCGAAAATCTAGTTTAATATTTTGTTTTCTATATCTTTCTAACATATGTGTCTATGCACACTTTCTCTCGTAAACTCAAGCCTTCAGACAAATTTGGTTCTCAGTGTATACACGGCGGGCACCGGGTACGGGTACAAAATTACAAATGGCGAGATTCTTGCTGTCAATTGTCACTCCATACAGCGTTGCCAGATTAAACGTAAACACATTTTCAAGAATATATAACACATTGAATAGCTAAATAATGTGATTATGTATTTTTTTTGTATGTTCTACCTAAATATAGTATCAAATATTCACTTTGCACTCTTAAAAAATTATTAAATACCATTTATCAAAACGCGTGAAATGAAAAAGAGAAATAGACGATTATAACGTTTCGCGACACCTTAATAATTCGTTATTTCAGATGACTGAATTGCTTTGAGCGAACTTGGATCAGGGTTGAAATCAGATATTTATCTATCCGCCGACTTGACCGTTTTGAATCGGAAAGATTGATCCTAAATTAACAAAAACATTGGACATATGAAAATATACATATGTAAAATGCAAAAAAGACAAACCCAAAACATGTCATAACAACGTCTGACAGTACACGTACATAATTGGACTTTAGTAGACGTCATGATGACACCAAATTTGGAACAATCACGTCAGTTGACGAGTTATCACCAAATTTCGACTTATATTTAGTAACACGGAAAGAATGATTCATTCACTCTACGAATTAACTTTTATAAATTAACATCTTAGAGAATTTTACCCACTCTCTAATTATGCGGATGGCATCTTCTTTGTCCTTTGGCTTTCCATACATTCGCCCATTATAAGCCACCATTGTATCAACACCAATAACAACATCGGGTTTCTTCACATCGTTTTTTAAACGGTCATACACATCGTTCAGTTTTCCAATCGCAGTTTTTTCTACAAATTCTGAGAATGTGTGTTGTTTAGGATCGAGATTTTCCTCGTAGTCTGATGGGACTACTTCAAATTTGAGATTCTGAAAAATGCATGTTGTAATAGAAACATTGAATTGTCAAAACTTTGTTTTTTTGGTAATCTACCCCTCCGTTATACATTATCAAAAGTATAAGTAAAATAATCACGTCGCTTTTTAAATATACCTTCATCTCCCTCTTAACCTATCTTTTGTTTTTGTAAATGCAATCTTTCGAATTCTGTATCTCTGGATGCATATTTAGTCAATCATCTTTTTAAAATCGTTGTAAATATTATAAATTTAACATTCACTTATTCGTATTCTAATGAAATTTCACTCCCAAGATATAACCAATTTTTGAAAAATCGTTCTGCTACAGAAAACTCAGTAGTGCTGGCAACACCGCTTTTCCCGCACAACTTTTTCTGTTTTCCTATCTAAGCTAAGAATGAGCAACTCCATTCTTCTCAAGTAAAATGGAACTTTTTCGGACAGCATTTGGAAAATAAAAATTGGTGGATCAAATGCACTTCAAGTTCTCTTTTTTGTAGTTGTAATACCGTTTCTTCTATTCTGACGAAATTATTTTATTAATATAAAATTTATATTTAATATATTATATCGTCGGTGTACATGACCTATGACGCCATCTGACAATTGCTTACCGTACTGCCCAGCAGTGCCCTCCTTTGCTTGGAACTACTGGCTAGAATTATCCTCATCTCGTTCAGTTGGCTTAATAACGGTTCCAACATTTTTTATCCTTCGGATGGACACAGTTTTTCTGAAACACCAAAATGTTGATAAACTACATCAACTTATCTTCAGCTTTATATATATCTGCGATCTGATTTTTGAAGGTCGATAACAATGTGAATTGAGCGTCAACGTTGCCATATTTAATGGTTTATCACCAGAGCTCCTAACTAACACACACAGAGGCTAAAGGTGGGGTGCCGCAAGATATCCTCATGAAGATGCAGGCTACTATAATATACACTAACTAAATATATGTTTTACAAAAGGCAATCATTAAAGCTTGTGCAAACCCAGGAATACACTTATCCACAACACTGATATTGTATACCTGCAGCTGACAAAGTGACAACACAGCACAACTAGAAGTAGTAGTTCGAAACTTCATTCATAGGTGTCCAATTCATTAAAATGACAGCCGACAGCGTCAAAATGACACGAATCATAACCTATCTATTTGTTTGCATTTGGAAAAGGTAAATAAAGACAAACTATTTTATATCATACGTTCGATGGTATGATATTTGCATATTGTACTAAGAAAATAACAGAATATTGAAATGGTGTGTGATAAATGTCAGAAGAAAGTTGGTAAGGTAATCACGCCAGATCCCTGGAAAAGTGGAGCAAGGAATACCACCGAATCTGGTGGAAGAGTAGTAAACGAGAACAAAGCTTTAACAGCCTCGAAAAACAGATTCAATCCATACACCACAAAGTTCGAAACTTGCAGGTAAGAAAGACTTCATCAAAGATCATCATAAGATTCAATGTTTACCAGGGTGTTACACTATCCAACACCAATACAACCAATTTCACTAACAAAGTAAGATCCCAGGGCTGTCAGACATTACTTGTTTTCTGGAAGATAAAACGTAGGTAATGTGTAGTGTTTATATTGATTTTAAAAAGCTGAATACCTACTAAGTGGGGGTAGTTATTGGTCTGATTTGCTAGAACAAGGCGAGAATGATTAACTAAAAATAAGACTAACTTTACCTAAATTCTGATGAATGATTCTTATATGTACTTTTAAATATTGTTACAAAGTATTAGTGCTAGACACTTCCTGCTTTCCATAACTTCTGTCAGATGCTTTAAACCAGAAATGCTTTCCAGTTGCTTTGGTTTGAGACTGATACATTCCCAAACTACTCCAGAAACAATGTATGAAAATGCAATGTGCAGTGGAATGGTAGTGGTGTTGAATACTACTGGTACTCCAAGTTACACAGGGTAATTCAAAAATTCATTGGAAGGCAGCTAAGGTTTCCTGGTATAAATTGACTTCTCTCTAACTTGTTTGTATGACTGCTTACAAAAAACAGTTTTATTTTAAAATGATAGGCAAACAGTTCTCCAGTTTTTTTTTTGCATATGTGTCTGAGGAAAAAGCTATTTTAAAATTGCATGAACAATTTTACATTAGACCCTGAAACTTTTGTATAAAACATTTTTTTCTAAAACTCTCAGAAAAAAGTTAGTGGGAGGATATCCAGCAGAAGCTATGGCCAGTGAGAAGTATTTGACACTGCTGGATATTACTTTGTAATAATGTTCTACAAACTATATAAATTAGTCATCAGAATTTAGTTACGTTAGTACTATTTTCACTATTTTTTTAGAGGATAAGTAATGTCTGGCAGCTCACAGATCTTGGACTAGAACAACCACTGAGCCTTCCTTAAAATCCCCACTCTTAATCTGATTTCATTTGTGTTTTCATGCTTAATGCAAATGTAACCCGGTTTTGAAAAAAATGTATTCTATAGTGTTTGAAAACATTGTAATTTTTCCAGGATATGTAGACAAAAGGTACATCAGGCTGGATCACACTATTGCCAGGCATGTGCATACAAAAAGGGGATATGTGCCATGTGTGGCAAAAAAATAATAAGCACAAAAAATTACAAGCAGTCTGCAGCTTGAGGTGACCTGTTACAAATATAACAAAGGTGCTGTGGTGTAGTTATAGCACCAGGAGAAACTCTTGCATCAGCCCTTATTTTACTAACTAGTCAGTACAAAAAATATCAGTGAGTGATTATGACTGGCCTCATATTGATTCAATATTACATACATTCGTTGTTTTCAGTTTGAGTAGCTATGTATCTGAAGATTACTTTCTATCATATACTTTCAAATATGTTACGTTTATCCACATTGGACATATTATTTTATTGTAAAATTATATCAGATGACTTTTGTAAGTAGAAAATATATTATTATCAAATGTATTTCAGTTTTACATATTTTATGACCCAATTAAGTAAAAATTTGTTAAAAAAACAGTTTGTAGTCTTACTTAGAATCTGAAGAAATATCACCTGTTTCATTATTAGACTTCTTGCACTACCTTTGGTTAATGTAATATCTAAAACATATCTTTTTGGGCCATGAATTGAAACCACATACGTGGGCTTGAATTTTTACTAACGTTTCTGCCACCTCTGAGGCCTTTTGAATAAGTACAGATAAAAAAGGTGACAGTAACAATATATTTCATATGTATTACCTAATGAAATTTCCACATAAGGTTACTACTAAGCAAAGGATGAAAAATCTTTGTAGTTTTTGAAAATTCGTCTGGTGGTGGCGGAGCTAGGTGCAAATATACGAAGAAAAAAATGAAAATCATTGCAACTTCGTGTTTTGACATTTCAGAGGACATTGATCTCATTTGAAAAAAATGTTAGGGGTGGCAATTTATGATGTTAGTGTATTAATAGTATACTTCCAGTCCCGTTGATCCTACGCATCCATTAGACATATCTCACACATGAAGGGACCCTCCTGAGCGGGACCGTAGCAAATGCTTGTTCTGGGAGGTGTCGTATTCAGTGGACAACTTATTGATTGTACACGCATTAAGGAATACCGGATGTGTAAGTAGCTTAGTATGTTCAACTATACTGTGGATGTCTATGAAGATTTTCTCTGTTTGATGTCCCTAATTGCTTAAATAAATAGCTGACCGATTCACATCGCAAAACGGATAGTATCTCGGCACTGAAGAAAAAATAAAAATCTCTTAAACTTCGTTTTTGGGGGTTGGGGTTGATGATGAAACGTCTTTAGTATCAGTCAACCCGGTAACAACGGGAAAATCAAATGATAAAAGTCGACGGTGCGTGCACTGCGAGATGCTGCATCGTCGTGGAGGCTACTGCCGACTGTGCAATGGGTAACAAACTCCACCTAGTCTGCGGTGGTGTCGTCACTGACGCACCGCTACAGGAGAAACATTTATATTTTTTAGCAATATTTGGATATTAAGAGTACGCACCACTTTAGCGTTTCTTCTATGTATGACCTAACTTACTCTGTCTAAGATGGTTCTCTGAATATTTCGTCAAGTTGTTTGACTCAGTACTTATGACGGATTGATATGCAACAGACGCCGACTGAGAAAGCGACATACATGAGAAACACGGACTTGTGTGATGTAGATATCTTTAAGTAACAGATAACTTGAAATGGAAGCTCGAATATTATCGTGAGTTTAATACTTTCATCGTTTAGGTAGTACAAAACAAAACCGCTGGAACATACAAGGTTTCAGATATTCTTCGTAATTTTCATACATTGTTTGGAGGTGATGAAAATTGTAGGTTGGAAGTTGTATGCTGTAAAAGATTGTAAATTGTTGCCTATTTGGTTTCAGCGAAAAACCTATTATTAAGAAGCTGCTTATCTGTTATACTCTGCACCTGTCAGATATAGTAAGTCACACAAATTACATTTTCCTACATCTACCATGGAAGAATTATTGTACCCAAGTGAACCTACCTAATCACGATTTGATTTCGCCTTTTGAAACGATTTGACTAATACCTTTTCTTTCAAACCTCCAATGAAGACGTGGGAATTATAAAGTCAATCCACTTGATGCCATTTTTTCCTGCAGGTTCGTGATTCTACCAACAGTTCAGAAATATTTCCAATCTTTTTGACAGTCGCCATAACATCGATAGGCTTTTGCCTTTGCAGCTGCTCCAGCATATACTTGAAGTTTATCATGATCAGGCACATTTCTTGGGTGATACTAAAGAAGTTGCAATTAGTATAATAAATGTATATTTTTGTAGAAATATGTGACTTACAGTATATACAAATTACATAAAAACATGTAGATAGCTAACAGCCCTTTATATTGCTAAAATACATTTTAATAAAATAGAGATATGTATTATGTACAAATACTCAAAACTTACATGACAACTTAAAAATTAAAACTTCTATTAATAATACGTATTTATGTTGTGTTCACAATTTGTTTGAATATATCGAAAACAAGATAAAAATCGCTTTTGATTACAATCTTTCATATACCAGTTTCTATTTTTCATCACGGAGATTCGTTTGAAATATTTTTATTAACATTATTTATTTTATTTATATGACTGAGTGATTTGTAGACAATATCAATAAATTTAAAAAAAATACATTATTGATAAGCACCGGAAAATACTAATAATAAAATGAAATGAGCATGCTAATACAATCCAAACAAAGTATGTGAGCTTGTTCTCCTTATTAGTGAGGTGCAAAATACGTGATATGTCAGAGAAGACATGTTCTACTTCAAATGATAATCTGAATTTAGATTGTATAGTGAAATTAATGCACCAAAAACTATATCCAGCCTAAACACAGTTTCATCAATATTTGGTCCCCTGTTGCTCTCCGTTGTTACTGTCTCGGGTCGTCATTCTCCTCAAATTCACAGTTGGTACAATGACATCTCACTTTAATCCACACTTATCTACGAACAATGTAAGCAAACTCAACACTTCATAAAACTTAACAAAATGGCACCTGGTAGGTAGAGCGAATCATTTCTCCTGCTTGTTCTGCGTAACCGTAACGTTAGTAACGTTCGACGGGTTGAACACCCATTGCTTAAAGCTATTGTGACTCTCGCTTCCATTTACTGGAACGTGGACCGTATTGTCGTTAGTTTCCGGTTTCCTTGGGGCCACGGGCGGTCTTCCACTCAACGTCGGCAGACTGGAAGGAATCTTGGACGTGTTCCTGATAGATGTAACAGTCACATTTTTGCTGCTAGGTTTCGGTTTGGCGGCGTACGGTGTAGACGTGATCAGTTCGAGCAAAGCCTTGTCATTTTCCGGGTCGAACGTTCGAGAATCTCGTCTTTCTGGCGACATCGGCGGCGTTTTTGTTGTCGTAGCTATCGGGATTCTAGATTTAGTCGGAGTTTCAGTTTTTCCGGACTTCGAAGGACTCTTCTCAAAGTTAGATTTCAGCTGTTCGATGGAAGAACGCTTTTCCGGTATTTTAGATGGTGCCTCGTAACTTGCTGTCGTAAATCTCATTTCGGGGAGTTTCTTCAGTTGTTCTTCAGCTATCTCGTGTATCTTGTTCAGTTCTTTCTCGTCTATCGACTCGTTGAAAACGATGCTCCTCGGTTCTTCTTTGATAAATTCCTCGAGGTTGTGGTCGAACCCGTGGATGTTGCTCTCAAACTGCTCTAATTTCGCCTCGAAGCTTTTCACGTAATTTTCGAATTCTGTGTCCAAGTTCCTCTGCAGACCTGATCCTGACAGCACCTCAACTTCAGACACGTTAGTCAAACTATTTTGAGGAGTCACTTGTATCTCCGTTACGTAAGTTAAAGACAAGCTGTTTCCGGTGTCATTTGAATTATTTTCCTCGTGTTCTTTTTCCAGTGTTTGAATCGCCTCTGCTAACGTTACATTTTTGATAAGATCCGGTGTGAGAATCGTTACTCTATTATCGTCTCCGTTTTCTCTATCCTCCAACGAGGATACATTCGAAACGTCAAGTGCTGTGGTGTAGTGTTCAGTGTCATCATTGACGCTGAACTCTAAGCTGTGCAAATCTCTGTTATTGTTAGTGACGTTGATATTGCTCACATGTCTATGGCTGTCTTTAGACTTAGCGTCATCGGACTTTGGACTGCTTTGTGTGTGTCTTGACACCTTTATATCATCCGAGACGTTAGTACCGTACATTTTGAATGGATACGCGTCATCTTGACAGGAATTTAGTTGCTCTGTGTACAAAAAGCTTTGCGTTACGTCGAGAATGCTGGACTGTGCTGGTTTGGTGTTATACGTTACTACACTTTTTGCTTCGTCCGTGTTGTTGATGAGCACTGCGTCTTTTATTGTTTCATTTTGTACCAGAGAGTTTAGCAGAGGGATCTGCGAGAGTATTTCTTGCGGTTTAACTGGTGCACGTGGTACTTGGGGTGAGCTATCGGTAGGATCGTCCAATGTCAGGGATGGTGGTGGTGACGTGTTCATGATGTTTTCTTCCCATTCCGATGTCGCCGGTTCAGTTGGAAATATCCGATCTGGTGATGGTAGTGTTGGCGCGTTGTCTTCTGGAACCCTCTGCCTCGAAATCTGAAAAAAATATCATTTATAATCATAAAATGCATACGTAAGTCTGCGAGGCGTGTGCCGCAAAGTTGGAATGAAACCAGTCTGCAACATATTGCATAACAAAAGAGAACTTTCCACCCTACCCACAAAATGTCAAAAAAACCTATAAGATGTCATCTTGCAAACTAGGTAGTTTTTAGGGCGCAAACAGTCATTCCACGTTTACTCACTAGGATCGTTGTGAACGTCCATCTAAGGAGGAATCACTCAACTAAACTAAGTGCATTATTGGTTGCATATGTTTTGTTGGTTGAATAGCAAGATCGCATCTGAATGATTATGTGTATTGGTCTGCATGTGTATAAAATCAGTGATATTTGCTGTGTGAGAAAATCATAACTGAATATGCTGCCAATAAAAGTATATCTATTGGCTGCGCCCGACGGGTTATTTTTATGTTGTGCTTGCTGAAGAGAGGTTATGTTCAAAGTTAAAAATTAAAAACAGGAGAATTACGGAAAATCATCACCGCGCCCGCGTTGTGTGTAATTACTGTTAGCATGTATGTAGCTTGTAATTCGATAGTGTACAGTGAATATAATTATTTCTTATGTCTCTCATTTTTGAAATTTAAATTTGTATATGTAATTTCCAGAATGGATAAGAAAAAGTGGATGCGCAACTAATTTCTAGTTTTGAATCTCAATTAAGTGTATTTGAGACAAGAACCCAATGTAATTATCATCAAGACATACAACTTACAGCTTAGACCTCCAGTAATGCCATCTCAGAAGCAGATTTTACATCACATCAGAGCCAAAGATTGATAACAAACCTCATGACGTCTAGGCAATACGAAAGATGACTATTACGTCATAACATAAATTGTACT